ATTAATGCCAAGATTTTTAATTATTTGATAAAAAACAATTGATAGAATGAAATCACAAGAGTGATTATGAACCAAAACCTATGATGACAAAGGAGTGACTAATAGATGATGGTATGCCTAGTTAATATGTTGTTGAAATATTGCTAATATGATGATAAAGAAGTGGCTAATATATGGATCAAATATGAACCGATATTGATAGTTATCCCTAGATCATGCTCATTGTGTTGATGATTGGCATAGCAAGTTCGTCTTCCTAATTATAGCATAACATGTTGATATATTCTGTAGCATTATATGAATACAAATACAAGATAAAAATATTTTCTACAATATTGTTCTTTTCATAATTTTATGCTATTAGAGCCTTATTCTTTATGTTGTAATTCGCAGCATCTATACAAAAAACTGAGTCCCGAGCTTAAAAAAACAAAGTAATGTTTATATAAATAATGGCCTTAAAGTGGGTCAATAAGGAAACATTAAGGTTTTCTTTTCAACATATTTGTTATTTTTTATAAAGATTTTAACAATAAAAAACCATCACACGATATTATAATTGGTTAGAGATTTTGTTCATGTTAATTTAAAATCAATTATGATCTTGTTGTGATTTTTTAATATATAGTTAAAATTATCTCTTCAAAATCTTTTTTAATAATACTAAATATATTAAAAATAGATCCTTTGTGTATCCCTAGTGACTTATTTTTTTCTTTTTTAACTTTTTTTTTTAATTTTTCTCTAGTACTATATCGTCTTGTCTCTTTTTCTTTACTATTAAATTTTAAATCTTATTTTTTCACCCTTAACTCTCTATAAAATTTTAAATTTATTTTCGTTAGATAAGAAGCATACTACTTGAAATATAATTAAACAACTATTATTGAAAATAATAATTATGTACATAATCAATACTTAAAAATATAGTTGTTTTTAAACTGGGTTATTTCACAAATATTTTTTCAACTTATATTACTCTTCTAAAAATTTTATCATACTCTGTTATATTTCCCATATATATATAAAAAAAGAACACCCTTTTTGATAACTTGTCATCAATGGGGCCATTTCTTTAGTCATGTCCAGTATGATGTCGCTTACCAAGAAAAAAAAGAAAAAGTAGAGGTGGTGCTCTTCTATATCATGTGGAACAGAAGTGGAGAATGATAGCCTCAGGATTTTCTGAAGCATAATTTGGACATGTGAAGAATGCAGATTGAGAAAAATGTAAAAGAAATGGAAGAAACACTCGAGAGTTTATTGCCAATAATTACCTTATATATTCTGAAACTACGTGAGATTTTTACTGTGTACTTTTTACTGTAGATGGACTGCGTGAAGTTTTATATTTTTTTAATTTGATTCTCAAACTTATTTTTAGACGATTTAGTCCTATTTACATGCTCCTACACCATGTTTGCCAATTCCAGAATTCTAGAACATCTGATCCATGATACTTTGTCATCAGTCTCATAAATATATATCACGCAGGCATTACCTTAAATATGAGAAGATAAAGGGTACAAGTTAATATATCAACGATGAAAACAGACTTAATTAATAATTAAGAGGTTTAAGGGAAAATTTCAAGTAAGTCCCCCAATTTTAGAGTTATTCTTTATGGAGTTCCCAGACAACTCTGCGTCTCACGTGGATCTCGCAAGAGTTCAACAAATTGTTAATTGAGTGCTTCTGTAGTCTCCGCTAATAAATTCCATCCTTATTGGTGGCTCTAACCCACGAATATTATATTAATTGATTTATTTAATGAAATTGTGTTGTCAACTATTACAAAATACTCTAAAACATGTGCTGGAACAGTTTTTTTGCTTTTATTGCTTTTATAACTATTACAAAATACTCTAAAACATGTGATATTTTCACTGGAACAGGTTTTTTGCTTTTATTTTTTTTATTTTTCACCTATAATGTATCACTGTGCACACAGTGCATCACTTGATTTTCTTTTGTTTTTGTTTTTGTTTTTTTTTGTTTCGCCTAAGTAACACTTGAGTTTTTTTTGTTTTTGTTTTCCTTTTTTTTTGGTTTCGCCTAAGTTTTTTTTTTGTGTTTTTTTAATGAATTTTTTTGTTTAATTTAGTTTGTTAATGTGAATTTTTTTTATTTAGTTATAATATTTTTATTATACGGATCTCGGGTTTAACGAGTTAACCTGAATTTTTTTTGTTTTTTTCCTTTTTAATCAATTTTTTTTGTTTGACCCATTGATTTTTTTTCTATTTAGTTATCAAACTTTCATGACGTGAATTCCAGGTATAACGAGTTAATCTGATTTGGCGTTATCAAACTTTTATGACGTGAATCCCAGGTTTAACGAGTTAATCTGGTTTGAAGAGTTAACCCAATTAATTCATATTTTTTTTTCTTCATTATTTTTTTTCTTCCTGTAGATTTGTTTTCCTTTGTTTTTTCTTTTAAATTAATCTTTTTTTTATTTGATAGTTTTTTTGGTCTTTTTCTTTCTTTTTAATTTAGTTTGTTATTATTAAATTTTTTCTATTTAGTTATTAAACTTTCATGACACGGATCCTAGGTTTGACGGGTTAATTTAGTTTGACGGGTTAACCTGGTTTAACGAGTTAACTTGAATTTTTTTTTGTTTTTTTTTCCTTTTTAATCAATTTTTTTTTGTTTAGTTTAGTCTGTTTGTTTTTTTTTCCTTTTTAATCAATTTTATTTCGTTTAGTTTAGTCTCTTCATTTTTTTTGTTTGACTCATCGATTTGTTTTTCTATTTAGTTATCAGAATTTCATGACGCGCATCCCAAGTTTGACGGGTCAACCTGATTTGACGAGTTAACTTAGTTGATTTATATTTTTTTTCTTTTTCCTCATTAGTCACAGGCTTATGCCTTTTGTTTGTTTTTCCTTTTTTTTTAATTAATTTTTTTTTGTTTAGTTTACGTTGTTAATGTTCACTTTTTGTTTTCTATTTAGTTATCAGGCTTTCATAACAAGGATCCCAGGTTTGACGGGTTGGCCTGGTTAATTCTAGATTAACCCGTCAATTTTTTTTTCTATTTAGTTATCAAACTTTCACGACACGAATCCAATATGTGACGGGTTAACCCAGTTAATTCAGATTTTTTTTCTTTTTCTTCATTATTATTTTTTTCTTTCTATTGGTTTTTTTCTTTTTAATTAATTTATTTAATTATCATACTTTTATGACATGACCTTGCAGCCAGATCCACATCTAAAACCATTGGGTCTAGTATTAGAGCTAGACCTACTGGGTTATGCAAGTTTAATATTATTATTATTATTATAAATATTACTTTTGGGTCAGGCGTTATAGCCACACCCAAAATTCTTGGATATAACTTTACAGAAAAACCTAACACTTTTAGATCTTAGTTATATATATATATATATAAAAGAAACTTTTATTAATTAACTCGGGTTTTTGATGGGGTCATGCAGAAGTCAATTCTCCTCTTATTTTTTTGAAACTTGTGATCTAAGTTTCTAGTTATCTAGAACACGAGTTGACACGACTAAAAGGTTGATGTCTTCTCCCAAGTGCAGGAGTGTCGAAGTAATAAATAACCCGGCAAGACCGGGGTCGAACCACAAGGAGGTTAATTGTACAAATTATAAACAAAAAAAAAAGGAAAAAGAAAAAATGAGTTCTCATTGACTAACTAATTAATATGAATTGAGGTAGAACTTATTTGGTATTGTAATAATATTTACTTTTTAAAGTAATATTTTTCGTTTGAAAATATATCAAGATAATAATACTGTTTTAAATTATTTTTTATATTTCACATCAAAATGAATTGAAAAAACTAAAATAATTAATTTGAAGTAAATAAAAAAACTTAAAATGTAGATGGAACTTGTTTGGTAAAGGAAAAAACATAATTTAATGTTAATGAGTCCCACAGTATTTTTAGAGGAAAGAAAAGCAAGTAATTCCTACTTTTTTGCGTACTGTTCATGCTAATAGCATTGTTTAGCGAACAATACAATTAGCATGAACATTGTCTCATGCTACACTATTTATGAGTAGTGTAGCCACCTCCACAGCTCCACTGTTCCGATTGAACCAGTTTTGGCGGGACCAAGTATATGTCCAGTCTAAAACTCAATATGCATTGAATCCACTGTTCCGATTGAACCAGTTTTGGCAGGACCAAGTATATGTCTAGTCTAAAACTCAACAATGCATCGGATCCGACTTAGTAAAATAAAAAATAATTTTTTTTAATTTTTTAATTGTGTTTTATTCGAAAAACCAGTATTTGATATTATTTAAGAACACTACATAAATTAGACAAAGATCACTTGATGACGCAACATTTGTAGAATTTGATCGCAATTTCAATTTTGTTTCTAATTATATTTTACCTGATGTTGTTGCACGCTTAAGAAATAAAAAAAAACTTTGTTGCACGTTTAAGAAATAAAAAAAAACCTATAGTTCTTGTCAGATGTATTTTATATGTAATGAAATTGTAGATAGTTTAATGAAATAATGAAAAATATTCTATACAAAGTATTATTTATTTCATGATGTAATAACAATAGTTAAATCTATAATATTTAAATTAAAAACCATCAATATTAATATATATTTTTTAAAATTATTTTATAACCTCAATTTTAAAAGTATTATTAGTCAAATATATTAAACTATTTTTTATCCAACCTTAATTTCAACTAAAGTTTTAACTAAATATCAATAAATATTAAATCAATCTCAATCAAAAATACTTTTATAAAATAATTTTTTTAAAATTATAACCATAATAACTATTACAATACACCCTAAACAGTGCTCACAGCACATGCTTTCTTGGAACATTAAACTGTCCACTACTTTTGGCAAAACTATCAATGAATATCTAGAAGGACAGTAATAACAAGGGGCTCTCTTCAATGATGATGTGGGATGTTTCTCTCCAATTATATGGTAGTCCAAGCTCCTAGCCTTAGCAAGCACCTTTCGGAGGAAAGCCACCTCCCTCTCCCTCTCTCTCTCTCTCTCTCTCTCTTATTCTTACATCTCTAGACCTATCTAAAATTAATTCGCAAAATATTCATCTCCACGTTAATTTGAGTTTATTTTCCTAAAACATGGAAAGCTTGATATTCTATATTGGAGTCATAGGTGAGGAAATGTGTAAGTGCATATGATATTGAAAAGATTCAAAGACTACTTATTCATGTTTTTTCTTTCTCTACTCTTGTTTGTTTCAGGCAATGTAATCTCTGTGTTCATGTTCCTCTCCCCTGTGTAAGCACGCTGTCTTTCAAGCCTTTTCTTCCTCTTTAAAGTTAATTCAGGTGATCACAACTGATGACGGCTCTATATCTATATATATATTGCAGTGGGACTTTCTGGAGAATCATAAAGCACAGATCGACTGAGGACTTTGAGAGCCTTCCCTACGTCTGCACGTTGCTGAGCTCATCTTTGTGGACTTACTATGGAATCATAAAGCCTGGAGCATACCTTGTTGCCACTGTCAATGGCTTTGGGATCGTAGTAGAAATCATCTATGTATCTTTATTCCTTATTTACGCACCAGTAAAGATGAGGGTAGCTAATTAATTCAAACCAGAATCAAGCGTACTATTGATTTGTGCTTAGCATGAGCACTTACAGTGCTTAAATACTGATTAACTAATTGCTAAGTGTCAGTTTTACTGCTCGTGCAGAATAAGACTGCCATTCTTGCTGGGATCTTGGATATGGGGGTTCTAGCGGCAGTGATTCTAGCTACCCGGCTGGCTCTCCATGGAGAAGTACGGATCGATGCCATAGGGTTCATGTGTGCTGGCCTCAACATCATTATGTATGGTTCACCTCTAGCTGCCATGGTAAGTATATTTCTACATGTTTTTGGGTTTTAAAAGTTTTTGAAAAAGACTACATGTTTTTGGGTTTTAAAAGTTTTTTAAAAAGAGATTGATTTTTTTTAATTTTTTTTTACTTTGAATTAATATATTATGATGTTTTTAAATGTTTAAAATAATTTTTTTAAAAAATAAAAAACATATTATATCAATTTATTTCTAAAAAAAACTTCTTTTACAAAGAACAGCGATCACACTCCGCCTTCCTGTATATTTTGTTTTTTCTGAAGCAAAAAGTTATTTGGATTTTCAAAACCAGTGAACTTGATATTCTTCTCACCTGTAGCTAGGTAATGTCATAGAGTTGACAATCATCAATCTAGCCATTATATAAATCATTTTATCTCACATCCCAGATCCCATACACTATATATCTTTTCAATTGAAGTGAACTTAAACCCTTGTAAATTGATATATTTGGAGCTATAAAAAATTATTAATTAATTGAGATATTATTTAAGCTTTAAATTCAAGTTGAAACCGAGTATAGATGTTATTTAATTAAGATTATTAATTTATTAAATTTATACATATTAATTAAAAAAACTAAAAATCCGTTTGGCATAGTTTTATATTTTTTTTTGTAAATGTCGGTTGTGATTGTTCATATTTGAAATAAACAAATTCTTAATTTTTAATAATACGCACTAAAATATCAATTGACAATTCGGGAACAACATATATAGCGACAAAGTGACGCACAATGTATATATAAGGTAATTTCTTTTCAACCACCAGTAAAATGGCAATCTACTTTCTTCTTCGGTGTGGTGGTCCTTTCCTTTGTGTCCTCCCATAAAGATGCAAGCCATTATTCATGGTTGTCAGATCTTACGAGATTTGATCTGACCACAACAACTGGGTTAATTTGTCTGATCGACAACACACACATTAAAGGAAATATTTTTTTAAATATATTAATTTTAGTGAGATGGGAAAATCTTTAATTAAGAAGAAGAAAACTCGTAAGGTTGAAATCATATTCTAAACAGTTTATTTTCCTTCTTTTTTTCAATAACAATATTATTAATTTAATAAGTTCTAAAAATTATTTAAAATTATTATTAAACTCAAGTTAATAGGTTGAATTTGAATTCTTCTATCCTAAATCATTGCCCGGCATTGGTATAAAATTAATTTTGTGAGAGTTGTTTCAATGAAATATAGTTAACTTGTTGGATTTAAATATAACATGCACAACAAGTAAAAGTATGGTTTAGTATTAAATAAAATTGAGTATCAACAAAATACCACTATTTTTATTTAATGATATGATAAAAAAATAAAATTTTGCAAAAATTAAGTGAGTACCAACAAAATACTGTTATATTTATTTAAGATTGTGATAATTTAACATAAAAAATTTAAAAAAATTATGATGAACAATTTAAAATCAATAAAATATTAAATGATAAAATTATAAAAGAATAATTAGAAAGTAGAGTTTAAAAAAATTCAAAAAACAAATTGAGACGCTTTACTATTTATATAAACACTAAATCATTATAGCCTTCTCCACTTCTGCAAGTAAAAAGAATAATGATCTATGAAATTGTGCCTTAGTGGCTTTTTTTAGTTTTGGTGGTTTTGTTTTCTTGTCAATATCTTGCATTATTTGGAATGTTGCTTTATCCTGTTCTTTGTTACTCTTAGTTATAATGGTGCCTGAGAACTTGTAAAAAATTTTCATATTAGTATTGTACGTGCATCTTTTCATGTCTTCTTTGAAATGATATACTTTCGTGTTTGGGTATTAAATACTTAAATGAATATCCAAAACTTAATTAGGTTGGTTAGGTATCATTATTAAAAAACACTAACGGAATGTTTCATTAGTATATAATGAAGATTGCATTGACATTAAAAAATACTAATAAATTAATAATAGAACATCGTTGTTAAAAAATATCTTATCGAGTTTTCTATTCTATCGATAATATCATTATTATTCATTCTGACTCATTTTGTACATTTTCAAATATAAATATGAACTACACTTTAAAATTCCTAAAAAAATAGAGGTGGACGAGATGAAAAAATCATGAACCAGAAGATCTATGAAGGGGAGGAAAATGTATTCTTATAGCTGCAATCATTTTAGCCTGATACATCCTATTTTTCTTGTCGAGAGTTTTACTCTTTTTTTCCTCTTATATTTTGCCTCTCATTAAACAATTGTTCTTAAACTCTTTTTTAGACAATGACATCAAAGCCTTGTAATGTGTAACTTGGGCTAGAATATGACATGTCTATAGTTGAAACAACGCAGTTCATCCTTAGTTACAAGGCCGATGTCATAAGCAAACAATAAACCCCACCTTTTTTCATAAAAAATAATTAAATAAAAATTAGGTAAGGAAATAAAAGAATACAAGTTTACAATATAACATTAATTGATTTAAATTTACCTATTTGCAATATGGTTTTTCCACACCCTCTTAATCAAAGACTCATTGACTTCGCCAAACCACAGTTTTTCTTTAATTGATTTTATACATTAATTAGTTTTTTAAATTTAAAAACCTAGTAACTCAAGCAAGAAATTATTTATCTAATTTTAATTTTTTTCCTTTAAGCATCTACAATATACATTCTTTCATAATGGACATGAAACCGACTCCACTAAAATAGTGGTTCTTTAAACAATCACTTCATTGTAGAAGTAATCGAACATGCAACTTTAATATCATTAAACCTGAAAATGAATTTAAATAAGAGTTTTCATGTAATTGTAAAACTTAAAATAATTTTATAAAAATAAATAACTATGAAAAAAAGTTAATTACATATATAGGTTACCCTTCCATACAATTATAATTTTACCTGAAATAAGCTTTGTTAAATAAGAGATGCCTACTCTATTGTCCTTATTGATTGAAGCTTAGTTAACTTTTACATTCTGTGGCTTCTTCATAATCATCACCTAAATTTAGACATCATTACCAACACAACTACTAATGAAGTAATAATATTTTTGTTGGACTTGAATTTTTTTTTTTTGAAATCTAAAAAATATAATTAAAAAATAACAATAAGATTGAAGAAGACACATACTTCTAAACGTTTATTGAATCAAAATCAAGTAACTAAGAATCAAAGCAAAATTTATATTTCCATGTACATCGTTTGAAAGAAATTCCAGCTACTAAGATAGCTTTCCTAGAACAAAATTGACTAAGGTAGTTTTCCAAGTTGTATTGCCACTACTTAATTATAAGATCACTTCATATCATGTCAAGGCCATTGTCACATTATTAGTTGTGTTATAACAATTCTTTCTTAATTGGACAAATAAAAAGAGAGAGAAAGAGAGAAAAAGAAAATGAACTTTCTAAATTTGTAGACCCTGTAGCTAAAAGAAACCAGAAATTGACATTTGAATGATGTCATAAACTTTATAATTTTATAGTTAACATGAATCAAGATTTTACTGTTACTAAATAGAACTCCAGCCTGAAAACAATTTCTAATCATTACTAGAAATCTGCAACAACAAAGACTATAATTGAAAGAACTTTAAAGATTTGTAAATCCTAGAAATGAAATAAGAATTTAACGATAACTAAGAAGGTATTGGATGAAATCATGGACCTATAAATTCTACCGCCAACACGAACTTATAAATTCTATCACCAACATGAACCAGATATTAACTATAATGTGAAAGATACTAAATGAAGTTATGGATTATGAACCAAAATTTGATAATGACTATAGAAAGATTTGCTAAAAAGATTCACACATACCATAACAAACAAGCTGAAATCAACATATCAAATCCAGTTTCAAACTAGACATTTCAATCTTTTGGATTTATAAATGTGACATTATTGATTATATAGAATTCTAACTATTAATATGATAACAACACATTGATTTCTATGATTACAAAAGGTATCATTAATATACATTAAAAAAAAACTTCACAATATCATTACTATGAACAATCCAAGTTAGTAAATCATCTTAAGAAAGAATAATATGAAAGCATATGCAAGTTTTTAGATGAGAAATATAGCAATATGAATATAATTTGGTCTAACAAAATCACTTCCAAATTAGGTAAAAACCATAACCCTAACTCAGGTTTTAACAATGTCAAACCCTAAGTTTATTAAATTAATTAAGAAGAATAAAAAATCATACTCAGGATGTGTAGAGGAGAGGTACTCTCGACGCTGGATTTGTGAATGGAGGTGGTTGGTTATCGGATTTGTGAGAAGGGAACAATGTTGCTGCATTTTGTTAAATGATGATGATGATAGAAGAACAAGAAGAAGTGGGAGAGGAGAGGAAATATCAAGTCTTAATTCATTAAAATTGTCGATAGAATTTTCATTAATCTTTTGTTTATAGTAATTTGACATGCTAGCAAGGCTGAAAAAGTAGTCACTGAAATTTCTTTTACTTTTTATTCTGTCACCTTTTCATTGAAAATTTATGACAAAAATGTTTTGTCATAATTTTTGTTGGTAAACAACAATGAAAAATGGTTATTGGCATTTTCGTTTTCTTTTCTTTTTCAATTTATGGTAGTGTATCCAAAATTCATATAATTGAATAATTGATAGCATACAAATATTAATTTGGATTTAAAAGAGTAGAAATAGTACCAAAACCTAATTCATGGATATTTTTTAATGTTTTGTCATAATTTTTGTTGGTAAAACCAAATTATCATTTGAAATAGTACCAAAACCTAATTCATGGATATTTTTTTTATCATCTTTACACTAGCCATAAAACCACCATATGCATTATAAAAACAATTATACCAAAATTTCATGCAACAGAATGCGATAACTAATGAAGTGTGAAACTAAAAAATATTTATAATTTATTTGTTTGTATAATATTACTACATATTGTATGCCCATATTTCTTTCCTATTAACATAGGTTTTTTTTGCCGTATTTCAGAAAACAGTGGTGACAACAAAGAGTGTGGAGTACATGCCATTTTTCCTCTCATTTTTCTTCTTTTTGAATGGAGGGATTTGGACTTTCTATGCCATACTTACACAAGATTACTTTCTTGGGGTAAGTTTCTCTCATCTCTTATAAATCAACATAAATAATCATGATAATTATTAATCCCATCATTTTCTGTATTAAAAATCTTAAATTTCTTGAACCCAGTTGATAGGAAGAATGCATGATCTAGGATATGTGAGATTCCATCCATGCTTAATTTATAAAATTCCAACACATTGTCAAGTGCCAAAAAAAATCGAACAGTAAATTACTTTTTTCTTTTTGCCAGTGGTACGCAAATCTAACATATGCATGACTCCTTAATAGTATAAATTTAAAACTTGACTTGGGTTTAATCTAAAAAAAATCAAAGAATGTTTTTTTAGCTATTTTTTTTCAAATAATAAATTGATAATCATGTTTTGATTGGATAAACCCAGATTTTTAATTAAATCAATTAAATTATTTTTTTCTTTAACCTAAACCCATTTATGATTAATCTATCGAGCGAGTTAGGTTTTTAAAACAATGATTAATAGATACAAGAAACCATGACCAAATACTCCTTGACGTGAATAAATAGCTAGTTGGCTTAGTATTTAGCTTGTGACCCAAGAAAACTGCCCTGATATACACTTGAAGATGCATTTCAGCATTTGGAGAACCATGGGGCATGTGTTCAATTAGCAAGCGCCCCACTTTCATTTCTGGACACTATATTTTTAAAGCAAAGAACAATTTCTTGACACCACATTGGTGACACTTCACATCAGTCATTCACTACCTTTTCCATGAGTATGGAATTAATCTAAGACCAAAAATTGACCAATTATTGGTTTAACAAGTGAAAAATAGAGTTGGACTTATTATCTTTATTATTTAGACTAAATTTCTTAGTATAAATAGGTTTATGAAATATTATATCTTATCTAAATTTTTCATAAGTCATTAGTATACCATATCAGGCATTACACTTTCGAAATCTTCTAATTTGTTTATAGAATTTAACCTTGAGATTAACTTGCAACTAAAATTTTCAAAGACTCTAAATGGGTTAAATGCTAATAAAAAGAATAGTTTTCTAGCACATACACGCTATTTATAGATAATTAATAATCCCACCATCTTCAATTTTAACATGGGAGGGAACTTAGAGCTCGAATTTGCATTTTAATTCATTTAATATAAAGCTATTTTGTGTTTTTTCAATTTAATATGGATATTATAATCAATATCAAGAACGTTGATCATTCGGGTTGTTTTCAAGATTATGATCAATGGTTGAATTTACAAAAATAGTTGTTTTAAATTTAGAAAGTAGTTAACGTACGCTACTAAAGCAAAAGGATTATACCATGTTGTTTTTATTTTTAATAATATATTTTTTGATTTTTTTATATTTTATTATTTTTCATGCGGGAATTCAAAAATAGGTTATGATATACTATAATAACAAAGTAAATAAACTTTGAGCATAAGACTGCCCACAACCGATCTTTATGAATATAGATTGTATTTAAAACAAAGGATGAAGATTGTTTGGTTCTTTGATGAGAGTTGCCAAATAAAACAGTACACAATTAACTAAAAGCTTGTGCTTATAGAAATTTACTGTAAAAATAAAACATTCATTAAGATTTTCTTTAATAAATTAACTAAATTTCTCAAATTAGATAAGTGTGTGTGTGTGTAAGATGGCTACAATTTCAAAATAGAGCCTTGGATATACATATATGTTTTTGTTTATTATGGATTTAGGTTAAGATTACAAGTATTTTGTGGTGTAGGTACCAAATGGAGCAGGGTTTTTGCTTGGAATAGCACAACTAGTGCTCTATGTAATTTACATGAATGCTAAGCCATCCAGCAATGTTTCTGAAAGACTGGAAGAGGGATGGGAACAAGAAAGTCTCATCTCATCCTCAAATTATTCTAATTAAATTAAATGAAGGTTTTGAGATCACATGACTATAGATCTTTCATTCTTTCTAGAAGATTTGAGGTTGTTGCTTCCATAAACCTATATACCTATATATTAGTAAGTTCATTCATTGACCGCAAATTAAAGATATTTTCTTAAGAGGTTAACACTTTATTAATGCAAGCTATATATTCCTTATAATAAAAACTCTAGAACAATTGAAGTTATTGTTTAGATTAAATGCAAGGTAACCATTACATGCACGCGCGCGCACACACACATACATGAATTTGTTTTAAAAAAATTCCTAACCATTCAGATCATGCTTAAATCCTGAATGGCCAAAGCCTAGTCAGTCGAGCCATCCCTAAACTACTAGACACTCTCGAGCCCAATGGGCTAAATGTATTTAATACAATCTAAAAAATATTGAACGTGAAAATTTAAATTTTATTATAATTGTGTATATTGTTCAGTTTTACCGTATCATTCATAATTCTTAATCCAATTATTGGATTGAAATGAAATTTTAACTTTGTACTTCAAAAACCAAAAATATTGGAAATAACTTAGACTTGTTGTTTATAGCAAAACAATAACTCAAAGAATGCAAAGACACCATAAGGTCAATTATACATTGATAAGTGAAATTTGTTGATAAATTTCCTAACAAAGAAAAAAAAATATTACATCACTCAAAGCACAAGTTTACTCAGAATATCATGGCTGCAAAGCAAAAATAAGTACAAGCTACATAACTTTATTTATAATAGGTAAAAAATACATGATAAAAAATTATAAAAAATAATAAAAGAAATCTAAATAAAATAGGAAAATGAATCTCAAATCAAATAAGAAAATAATACAATTTTCACATAGTAGCTTTTGAATCTTATTATAAGTCCTTGTCGATGTTTGATTAACTTGAAATTTTAATTATATTTATAATAAAATATCCAGAAACTTCTCATATAATTTTTACCTGTTCTAGTAATCAGATAAAAAATTATACCAAGTAGCATCAAAATGTGCAATAGAACAAATAAGCTTAAAACTAACTTTAACTATCCTAAATAAGCATGGAAATCTTTGTAATAAATGCTTCCCCTTAGTTTCCTTGTAGAACTAAAAAAAATCATAAAAAATAAGTTGTTGAATATCTTTGTATTATGAGAAAAATAATCATTTCCAAATAAGAGTCCATAAGTCAAATGATAATAAGTAACAAAATTCATATTGCATCTTCTAACCTGTATCGTAAGACCATTTTGAACTCCAATTAACCTTATATTTAAACCCAGTGTATAACAATATGCAATATGTCTGAAAACTCAAGGTAAAATTTTAACTCAATTCAATGGTTGGATTGATAATTATGTTTAATAGCATAAAACTAAATAGCAGATACAATTATATTAGAATTTGAATTTCCTTGTTCAACATTTTCTTGGATCATATCAATGATATTTTTAAACCTTTACCTGTATTCCTGCTCCGGCATGCACCTTAGTGTGTTTTTTGAATTTTTAAAAAGTCAGAACGGGCATCGCACCGCCCATTAGTGCACTTGCACACCAATTTTTTTAATACAAAGTAGAGAAACCTCCTATCTCTTCAATTAATGGCATGATGAGGCACCATAACTAATAGCTAACATTAACACCTATTCACTAATTGTACATTAACCAATAAGTCACCTGTAACTCTAAACACCACTAGATACTTGTAACTCTACTCAATATAAGATATCTAAAACACTATTATCCATGAGATAAGATGACATGACCAATAAGATATCTAAAACACCATTATCCATGAGATAAGATCACATGACCAAGGTCTATAAATTTCTAAGATCACTGGTAAACAATTAAGTTAGGCAAGCTTATTCAAAAGCTTCATACTAGTTCATACAATAATTCCACCCAAGACCACAAACAACCATACAATAGTTCCACCCAATATCACAAACCATAAACAATTATTCAACCATTCATCAAGTTGAGACCAAACACAAAACATTCACAGATACACTTTCTCATATACCTTATTATTCTCTTATATTTTACTAATTTCAGTCTTAAAGGGTCCCATGTTTTGAAAAATAGACTTGTTTCTATAAGTGAGCATAAAGTCACCCTATTAATCCACTAGACCAATGGTCAAGTTCAAGCTTCTAAAAAGGAGAAAAAACGAGTAAGCTCAATATATAATAAAATATTAAGAAAACGATAAAAGAATCTTGAGTTAATGCAATCTAAATACAAGTATAACACTTAACCAAACAATACATATAGATAAAGATGACAATTTCACCTACTTTGTCATGTATTCAGTGTTATTTGATTCAAATAAACTGGATTTTTATTTAGTTTGACTAGAGTTTGATGCAAAGACAAATGAATTACACATCAATAAGACCCTTACTTTACCTTCACCTAATTTTTTAACCTTTTTTTTTTATTTTATAAAGTTGTTATTTTATTTTTAAATATAATATACTGATTTTTATCTTATTATTCATCAAATATATTTATGGTTTTATAAATGGATTTGAAGTATAGACTTTATATTATGATTTTATAATTCATGGATAAAAACACTATTTATTTTTAAGCTTATATATTTTTTAAATAACTTAAAAATAAAAATAAAAAATAAATAGGTGAAGTCAAGTTAGGTACCCAATGGCATATGTCAAGTGGGAAACTAATCAACCCAATTTGATCCGTTTGGATTCAAGGTAAAGTTGGGTGGTAGATTTAGATATTGCAACTCAAAGTCGAGTATAGCTAAATTCAGCTCCAACTTGATCCATTATCATCCTAACGGTGGATAACATTTAATTCCAGCGCTGTTTCTACATACCACATAACTTAAAAACATTAAGAATATAAACTCACTTGTATATAAGGCACACACTACCCATACAAAAATTAACAAAATAAGACTAAACTGAGGACTTAAAAGAAATAACCAAACAATGGAGAAAAAAGAAGAAGAAAAAGACCACCAATGAAAATCTTTTGTTGTTATATTTTGTCGCATGTGTGCCGCGTCACTGCAATTACGTCCACTCTTAATGTTAGTATCATGGAAAAATAAGGAAAAATAGAGAGATAAGAATTCTTTTTTGTTTTGTTTTTTATCTTTGTACGGATATAAAAGGAGTCATCACTTAGTATTTTGGTCACTATGAACCCTAATTGATCTTAGATATCGAGTACGAAAACTGGTTGTATAAAGAGAAGGTATTAATACCCTAAATACACTTTACCTAAGGTAACCTACATTGTTTAATGATCTGATATATTCTAAGGTATTATCATGCTTTCTTTTTGTTGGTCTATTTATGGTTCAAGAAAAGCTCTCATTAGTAAGGAGATTCTTATCTTGTAAGGTAAAACCTAACCATTCTAATCATTGAAAAAAAACTAATTTTTATTTAACATTAGAAATACATCTTACATGTAAGTTCGTAATCCCATATATTAAAAAGAAAAAAAATATTTTTTATTTTTAAAATATTGGTCTAGTTTTCATGACTTGTTATTAAAGCTAAAAATACATGTTAAGACATATTTTTTGAAATTTTCTATGTCATATGAAACCACAGTATGACTTCTTTTTTAATCTTTGAGAGACTTAATTATATGCATAAAAAAAGCATTTTTTTTTGTGTTATGTGTGTGTGTATTTGCAACATTTCATAAAAAAACCACGAATTTAATACCAGATTTGTATTTTTACAATATAAAAATATAAACCAGAAAATAAATACATGAGAAAACTATAATTGTTTTTTAGCTGAGTCCAACTCATCCCAATCAAGTTAGGCTAGACACAGCAGTCCAGCCCGGTAACTAGCCCAATCCAATGACCTAGCTGGTTAGCAGAGGCACCCCTAGTGCGTGCGTGTGTGCATAGTGAAGGGGTAATTAAAATTCAAGCTGCACAATGTTTATGTGATTAATAAATGGAAGAGGAAGGAGTGAAAATCTTACCTTACCTAAAGGCGTTGTTAGGTGAAGCCTTTCCTAAGCTTGTTGATTAGTACTCAAAAGTACATTTTTTATCAAAGTTCTATGTCATTATTTTGCAGTTGAAGTATCAATAACTCCTTAACTAAAACATGTTTTATAATAATATATCTAATAATATAAGATACCTTTAATTTGTGGTAAATGTTCATTTTAAATGCAGGCCTATCACATAAATGAAAAGATTGATTGATGA